TCCAGGCGAGTTTTCCATTTCATTCTTACTTCACATCCTGCTTTGTCCTTCCTCATCCATTTGTTCCTCTTAGTATCCTTTTATCCTGTGGCCTCTGGTTACTTTGTTCTATCCTGTAAGTCCAAGGTCTGAGGTACCGAAGATGATTTACACCAATTACCAACAAAATGACCCATGGTCTTTGTTTCCTTTCTCATTTTCAAATTTCACATGTTCTTTGATCTTTCCACCATAGGCCCCTTTGCTCAGATTTTAGAAATAGCAACTAGATCATATGACAAATATATTTATGTTGTTGATATTTTAATGAGATGGCTAAATTTACTACTTTCTTAACATTTACATTTAATGGTGAATGGGTGACCTGAAAGAATGGATGTACTTCTGCTGTCTAACCCCAAATAGAAACTCTAAGGGAAAAATTTCAAGCAAGTAGAAGGGTTTAAACATAAGCTGAAAATAGAGGATTTAGGCCAAGTAGGTTTTAGGGCTCAGCCTTAAATCATGTATAGGCTCAAATCAGAAGAGCTATGACTTTTTACATAAAGATGGTCTGGAAGCTTAGTCTTAAATGTTACATATGTAATGGAGATCAACCAATTGATTGATCTGTCTGTTTGTCTGTGTGTCTATCTCTCTCTCTCTCTCTCTCTCTCTCTCTCTCTCTCTCTCTCTCTGAGATGGAGTCTTGCTTTGTTACCCAGGCTGGAGTAACATGCAGTGGCCTGATCTTGGCTCACTGCAACCTCTGCTTCTGGGATTCAAGTGATTTTCCTGCCTCAGCCTCCCAAGTAGCTGGGATTACATGGGTGCACCACCACGCTCAAATAACAGCTAATTTTTGTATTTTTATTAGAGAGGTTGTTTTGCCATGTTGGCCAGGCGGGTTTTGAACTCCTGACTTCAGGTGATCCACCCTACTTGGTCTCCCAAAGTGCTGGGATTATAGGCATGAGCCACTGTACCTGGCCAGATCATTACATTTAAAAAAATTTTAAATATATTGTCATATCTTTAAAGTTTTATTGACCCATCATTGTCTTTCTTTCTCTCTCTCTCTCTATCTGTAAATAAATATACAGATAGATAGATACATATATATGTTTTTTAATATATAATAAATACATATTTCTATATATATTAAATATTTGGTGCTTCAGTGGAAGAACAGAAGCCCCCAAAACAGGGCATAATTTCACATATTTGGCTACTAAATTCTGTTTTTTTTCTTATTGGAAGAAGAGCAATCTTGTCAGATTACTTAAAAGAAAAATTTGAGGTTACAGTGAGCTATGATTGCACATTGCACTCCAGCCTAGAAAACAGAGCAACACCCTCTCTCTTTAAAAAATAGAAAGCAAGCAAGCAAACAAGCAAGCAAGCAAATAGGTCACTCACCAGTATCTTCTTCCTAACGCCCACCCAAAGCCTTTTGTGCTAAATAATAGTGTGAGGTTGCTTTGGGAACACTGGGGCTATTGACAAACATCCTCATGGCCATGGGCACACTCAGTCTTTACAACCTCCATTTCCATTGGTCTGTGCTTGTATTTCACTTTGCCAAGGAATATTAGGAGTAATCTGGATTCCTTGGGGCATCCGCACATGGGCTAGACAGAGGGGGTGTGGAGAGATAGAACAGATTCACCAAAGCAGTACTTGGGAATCCCACTGCTCTATTTGTGTCATGCCAGGGATCCAAAAAGAAGGCAGAAGTGCTGGAGGAGGTGGACTAGAAAGACCTGGGTCAGAATAAAGACACTGTGCTGGAAAGGATCTTGAGACTCCTGGAAAAGGAGCAAGTTCACTGACTCCAGTAGAGACTTCTGTTCTTTATGGCACGCTTGCCTTCACCTGACATATCTGAAAGTCAGCCACCCTAGCAAACAGAATAAGACAAGACCGGGGCTTTAAAAGATCAGAGAAGATACAGGGGCTACCACAGGGCATAGAAGATAAGAGAAGGAAACTACTGCTATGAGGTCACTGAAGGCACACATTTCTCCTATACCCAGATGCAATTCGAAAGGGAGAATAAACAGAGCATAACTTTGAGTAATCAAACACTGACCCATCTGCACTCAGCAGAGATTGGTTAAAGAAATGTCCTAAATTATTGCCTCAGATTAGCACTAAATTACTGGCATGAACTAACATGTAGTCCTGCCTGCCACCAGCTCCCCATTAGTCAGGGGTTCATGAGAAAGAACAGATAAGTTACAGAGAAATAAAGCAGCTATCTGTTCCTTTTACACATGAGCATCATACAAATGATGTGTAGTCTAATTGCTCATGTTTGTTCCTTGCTGGTGTTTTCCACAGAAGTTTCCAGGTTCAACTAGTGCTTCCTGAATAAAAAATAATATCTTAGGCTTCCATTTGTCTCTTATCTGAGAAATTATTTAATCATGAGTATATATAAAATAAATCAATGAAGAAATACCCTAACATAGGACATAGGTAAATGATACATTTCTGAGGTGCAGAGATTGTATTCAGAGTTTCCTAGTACCTTTTTAATAAATGCATACACACATGTGCAGTATCCAGAAAAGTGTTTGGTGCATAGTAGGCATTTCATTACTGTTTGATAAACTGTGTTGGGTGACTACACATTGGCCTACAATTAACATTGATGCATATTGGATAAAAGGTTTTTGATAGTTGCTTGGCGATGAAGGTGTATGCACATTGTAGTTCTCGAGCTTTGCGGAATTACTTAGACATTCTAGGTCTGGCGAGAAGTTTTCAGGGTTATGATTAGAAACAAGATCTTGACACATTTTGGTTTTATAAAAACAAGAGTAACTCAGTAGGCCTTGGGCAGAAATACCTAGGTTTTATTAGGGGAGACTCTCTTTTGGTTCATTCTTTCACAAGAAAGACTGGTGTAAAATAATGCTGAATATCTGCCTCTGTCTCTGCTGGCGATAAGTGTCTCATATTCTTTTAGCATGTGGGTTATCATTTACAGATGTCCTTTCTACTATAGAATAAAATGATTGGACTTCGTGTCTGTTCCAATCCAAGCCTCACTGAGAATTCCTGAGCTACATAAATATTTACCAGGACTCTAGAAGCACAAAAGAAGAGATGGAACAAAGGAGAAATGAGCCATAGAACTCTAGTCAGAGCCAAAAGCAGAAGAGGTGACAATGAAAGACAAAATTGAAAATTTATGAAGATTTATCATTTATGTATAGGACAGTCAACAGGTTTTCAAAAATGCAGGCTCATCATTGGAAAATAGGTGCCAGGCATTGTTTCCTAGATTGCATCTTTTGGCAAAAAGAAGAGTCACTGAAGGAGGGCAGCATTCATAGGGCCTTCCCAGCTTCAATGCTTTTTGTCCCATTAAATTGGCACACTCACCTCCAGTACATTCTTGCTGCAAAAGGTAAAGAATGTACTGGAGGTGAGTGTGCCAATTTAATGGGACAAAAGCAAAGAATTAAATGTTCCAAATAAAAGAAAGGAGGAAACAATGACCAGTTCTAAGACTATAAGAATCTTGCTATCTTTATGTTATCTTCATGTTTGTTATTTTATTTATTTGTGTTTTTTTTGGGGGGGCTTTCCTCCTAATTATGAGTCCTTTACAATTAAAAGTGCAGTGGATCTGATTTTAGTGGCAATATGAGATGGGGAAAACTGGTTAGTTTCTGCCTTACCCCATAGAAGATGTGGCTTGAGTAAAACCCTAGGGATAAAGTGGCAGCGGTTAGTAACAAAAGATAAGTACATGATGAGGTTCCTGATTCCGGGGTCTAAGAGAACAAAAGTATCCAAGTGGTTTTGAGAAACAGCCTTGGCCTCTAGCAGTAAAAGGACCCACAAGTACAGTATCCTGAGAGTCTATTTCCAGTTCAAAAATCTAAAAAATGATAATCCCTAAATTCTCTTTTAGCTGTATCTGTATCACTGTGTAAAATGTCTTTTTCTCATCTCAGAATTTATAATCTCATTGTTCTTTCAGTGGATTGAAACTCATAGGTAAATGTTAAGCTACAGGGAGTCAGGGCCCATGTCTGAGTGATTCATTTCTGAATTCTCAGAGTTCAGCAAGCACCAGAGGCATTGTGAATAAAGAAGAATAAGTGATTGAATACTGAATGATAATCATGCCCCTCATCCCCCTTGTTCCCTAATTAATGATTAAAGTCTGTCTTTAACCCATGAAGATGGGCTTGACGGATTCCATCTCATGCTAGCTTTATGGTGTTCCTCTTAACGCTTGACTATTAAACATTCAGAACTGTACTCTCTGGTAGTGTATTTTCCAAGCTTGAATTTAATAAACCAATTCACACAATAGGAAAAAAATGAGTGAATAGGCAATTTCATTTTACATGATGACCCATTGTAAAACAAACAAGGGAAAAGCCTCTGGTAGCATTTCATGTAAGGGAAGAGTGGAGAATTTAGCAATATAGGGAGCTCATAGGGTCTCTGGAGCTATCAAGCCTCATACCCTGCAAATGGTCCTCATGCAGGTGAAGCATCCCTAAGAGGGACTCCTCAATGAGGGGAGAAAAGCATCCTTTTATGAGCATATGAACCACCAAATTCATAGTAGCTTCTCTCTTCCCACTACAGAGATGACATCCTTTTGCCACAGCCCAGTGCCTTCACTGTGGTAATTTTGCCACAGCTTAACTGAGACAGAGCACTGTAAATGCAACGATATTTTATTTCAGCTCTCCAATGACCCCAAACCAGTTTCTATTATTAATAATTCCTTTAAGGTTTATCTCTGGAGCATTCAAGAAGAAGCACCATGACTTCTACAATTAAGAAAAAAAGACCAGGCTGCAGATTTCTGTTCTGAATTATTTCCTGAGCTTCTTCATTATTTACTGAGATTCCTGAAATGCAAACAACCAGAGTGTTATCAGGCAAAGGCAGATCCCCTGAGCCTTTTATCATTCTGGCTGCAATTTTGCATATTTCCTTTATAACCAGACAGCATACCAAATGAAGCTAGACTCTTTAAAAGGAAATGAGGCAATTGGAATGTCAATTTTATTTAGTAATATATTGTAAAAACTAAACAGCATATCCAGCTGATTGACAAAATCCATCCAACTGTTAAGGGCAAAACAAAACTATCTCAAGAGGTACAGTTATGCAGATCTTGCTTTTACCTACAGGCAGATATTTAGAGAGAAAGAGAGACAGAGAATATTGAAGCAGAATGCTACATATGGAATTGTCCAACTGATAAAATTCAGAGAGAGTAAGGAACTCAAAAGCAGAGATTATCATGTCATATTTTCTCTCTTCTTCTTCAGAGAGCCTTTAAGCTTCTTCCACAGGCTGTCTTTTCTCTTCAGTTTCTTTTCCATCAAGGATGGCATGGACTCCTTCTTGCGAATTTCCCTCACTAAGCCATGAAAAGCATCATCAATACAGAATCTGAGGGCCGCAGAGGTCTCAAAAAAACCGCAATTATATTCTTGGGCCAGACTCAAGCCTTCTTCTGTAGAAACCTACGGAAAAAGTAAATAATATTAAAAAGACAGAAAGAGAAAGACTCTTTAATTAAAAATATGTACTCTATTAGAGCTATGGACCTCAGTTAAATTTAAGAATATATAAAAATGTGATAATTTGTTTTAAGAGAGAATCCTATAATTTGAAGGACAAATGAGAAATTAGAATCCTTGAAAGGATAACTGATTAAAACTACTTAAAAATTGAACTAGAAATCAGCTCTCTGGAATTCAAAAAAGCAACATAGCAAAGTGGTCAAAGAATAGCTTTATATTAGATATGTTTGTTTCAAGTACCAGCTCAACTACATTTTAGCTTTGCAAACTTGGGCAAATTTCTTGACCCTTTTTCCCCAATTTCCTCAACATAAGATATTAATACTTACCTCAAAACCTCTTTATTAGGATTAAGTGAGGTCATCTAAAAGAGACACACGCCTGGCATGTGTTTAAAGTTCTATAAACATTAGTCGTTACTATAGTCTAGAGCCTTCATGAGTTGTCATAAAAATAAAAAAAATTATCTCTCAAAAGAAAACAAAAAGCAAACATCACCCCTATGGGAAAATAAGCCTCTATCTAGCCAAATATTCCAGAGCAGGTTTGAGGCTTCATGAGTCTTTGGTGGCACTTACCCATGCTGTGGTTTATGCTATTGTAATGGATCTCTAGAGATCCTACAAACTGACTGAGGCCAGGGACCATGTCTGTCTCACTCACCATTCCTTTGGTATCTTCTATAGCTCCTGGTGTCTACATCATCATTTAAAGGATGATTAACAAAATTACCCAGCGTTGAATAAATATTAGCTAAAATATAAATTATACACATATTTTAGCATAGTGGATTATATGTCCCTGTAGCTGGCACTAACAATCCTACTCGAAATTTAGTGCTCCTATAAAGCCCTGCCAGATTATCAGTCTGAAATCCTGAGTTACCAGGACTCTGAATTATAAATAGCCCTCCCAGCTCCGCATGTTGGATACGTGGCATAACTTAGAAAAAAACTTTATTCCTTTAAGCTGTTGACATTTTGCAATTGTTTGTAATCAGGGCAAAAATAGAGTTTTTAAACTGGTACACCACACCATATGGTTAGTAAGTGGCTGAGCTGGGGTATAAAAATCTATCAAGTCTATCTGATCCTAAAGACAGGTTATTCACTCTAGTCTGTGATAGATTGATTTCATTAGTGGCTGTTAAACAGAGATGAGTAACTTGTCACATTTTAACCCTACAAGATAAAACATGTCTGGATTCTCTCTCTTTCTTTTTTTTCATTCCTGCTGGTAAACATAACTTATTTTAAGTAAATTTCTATCTTAAAATAACTTAAGAAATGCAGTGAAAATAACCAACTAAAGCTAATAACATTCTGGCCGACCAGCAATTGTGCAAAGTTATGTTTATTAAGTAACTTCCCTGATTTTCAAATTATCACAAGCGATAATCTTACCAAACAGTATGACACTGCGTAATGTGGCTTACCATTTATTTTTCTGTTATCTGGAAGAATTTCCCTCAACCAGAAGGTAATGGTGCTTATTTTATGCCTTTTATAGCAACACAACAGTTCTGGAACTATTTTCTATATTTATTGGCTTTCATTAGGTTATACTTATATTAATATAGCCTAAATGCCTCTATGGCTTATAAAATATTTTTTGTTTTGTTTTGTTGCTACACTGCTCTTTAGCAGCTAAGGAGAAGATTTTTGGCAGCTCTGCTCCAGACTGTCAGGTGGGTTCTGGTGTGTTACTCTTATCCTTTTATTTTAGGACTTAGGCTATGAGAGCCCTCTTATCAGGGAAATGATACTCCCATAATATAGTGCAGATGCACAAGAGGCAGAAATTATTTTACCTATATCCCAGTGGCCAAAAGACACATGGAATAACCTAAAGTCAGTCAAGCAGGACATATGCCCAACTCACATTGAAGCATGGCAAAAGTGGAAGGAAAACAAAGAATTTTAAGGAATAATTGATCAGTCAACATAACTGCATTACAGTCTCCAGTTTTAAAAGACAAAGACTGTCCAATCAGATTTTACAAAAATCACTTGCAGTTGCAGTACCTTCTATATAAGGATTTGGAAAGTGAAATTTGAATGAAAATTTACACACGAAAAAAGTTGTTGATATAGTTTAAATATCAGACAAAGTAGACAGTAACTAAAAATAGAACATTATTTGAGTAAAAAGAAATATTTTATAATGATAAAGGAAGATATTGTACTAATTCTTGTGCACTAAAAATATAGTCTCAGTGTAAATTTTGAAAGTTGACAAAATAAAATCCAAAAGCTTCGTGAGATATTTTAATGTGTCTCTCAGCAACTGAAAGAACTGGTAACAATCCTATTAACACAACTCCACGAGATAGAGAAAGAGGGAATCTTCCCTAAATCATTCTATAAAGCCAGTATCACCTTAATATCAAAACCAGAAAAGGACATAACAAAAAAGAAAACTAAAGACCAATATCCTTGATGAATATAGATGCAAAAATCTGTAAAAAATTACTAACTACCTGAATCCAATAGCATTTCAAAAAGCAAATCCACCACAGTCAAGTGGGGTTCATACTAGAGATGGTTTAACATACACAAGTCAATAAATGTGATATGCCACATAAACAGAATTTAAAACAAAAATCACATGATTATCTCAATAGGTGTAAAAAAAAAAGCCTTTGACAAAATCCAGCATCCCCTTTTGATTAAAACCCTCACCAAAATTGGCATAGACGGGACGTGCCTTAATGTAATAAAAGCTATCTATTACAAGCCCACAGCCAATGTAGTACTGAATGGGGAAAAGTTGAAAGCATTCCCCCTAGAATGCACACATGACAAGGGTGCCCACTCTCACTCCTTCTATTCAACATAGTCCTGGAAGTCTTAAGCAGATCAGTCAGACGAGAAAGAAATAAAGGATATCCAAATTGTTAAAACTGTTGCTGTTTGCTGATGATACAATTGTATGCCTAGAAAACCTAAAGCCTCATCCAAAAACTCCTAGACCTGATAAATGAATTCAGCAAATTTCAGTATACAAAATTTATATACAAATCAGTAGCTCTGCTGTACACCAACAGTGACCAAGCTGAGAATCAAATCAAGAACACAACCTGTTTTACAATAGCTGCAAAATAAATTCAACAAATGGTATTGGGATAATTGGCAGGCCTCATGTAGAAGAATGAAACTGCATCCTCGTCTATCACCTTTTTACAAAAATCAAGATGGATCAAGAACTCAACACCTGAAAGCATAAAAATTATAGAAGAAAACATTGGAAAAATCTTTCTAGACACTGGCTTAGGCAAAGACTTCATGAGCAAGAACCTAAAAGCAAATGCAACAAAAACGAAGATAAATACTTGGGACTTAATTAAACTAAAAAGTTTCTGCACAGCAAAAGAAACAATCAGCAGAGTACACAGAAAACCCACAGAGTGAAAGAATATCTCCATAATCTATACATTTGACAAAAGACTAATATCCAGAATCTATGAGAAACTCAAAGATATCTGCAAGAAAAAAGCAAACATCCCATGAAAAAGTGGGCTAAGGACATGGATAGACAATTCTCAAAAGACGATATACTAATGGCCAAAAAATATATGAAAAAATGCTCATTATCACTAATGAACAGAGAACTGCAAATCAAAGCCAAATGATACCACCTTATTTCTACAGGAATCATCCTAATAAAAAATCAAACAATAATAGATATTAGCATGGATGTGGTGAAAAGGGACCACTTTTACACAGCTGGTGGGAATTTAAACTAGAACAAACACTATGTAAAACAGTGTGAAGATTCCATAAAGAACTAAAAGTATAACTACCAGTTGATCCCACAATGCTACTACTGGGTGTCTATCCAGAGGAAAAGAAGTCATTATACAAAAAAGATACTTGTACACGCATGTTTATAGCAGCACAATTCTCAACTGCAAAATCATGAAACCAGCCCAAATAACAAGTGGCTACATAAATGGTGGTATATATAGATACCATAAATCAACAACTGAATAAATTGTGACACACACACACACACACACACACACACACACCATGGAATACTACTCAGCCATAAAAAGGGAAAAAATAAGGCATTTGCAGCAATCTGGATGAAATTGGAGACCATTATTCTAAGTGAAGAAACTCAGGAATGGAAAATCAAACATTGTGTATTCTCACTCATAAGTGGGAGCTACGATGTAATAACGCAAAGGCATAAGAATGATATAATGGACTTTGGAGACTCAGGGGAAAGGGTGGTAGGGGGATAAAAGACTACACATTGGGTCCAGTGAACACTGCTCAGGTGATGAATACACTAAAATCTCAGAAATTACCACAAAAGAACTTATGCAACCAAACACCTACTGTTCCCCCAAAACCTATTGAAATAAAAATAAACGGCCAGGCGCGGTGGCTCAAGCCTGTAATCCCAGCACTTTGGGAGGCCGAGGCGGGTGGATCACGAGGTCAAGAGATCGAGATCATCCTGGTCAACATTGTGAAACCCCCGTCTTTACTAAAAAAAAAAAAAAAAAAAAAAAAAAAAATACAAAAAATTAGCTGGGCATGGTGGTGCGTGCCTGTAATCGCAGCTACTCAGGAGGCTGAGGCAGGAGAATTGCCTGAACCCAGGAGGCGGAGGTTGCGGTGAGCCGAGATCGCACCATTGCACTCCAGCCTGGGTAACAAGAGTGAAACTCCGTCTCCAAAAAAAAAAAGGAATAAAAATAAGTAAAGAAATAAAGAAAAAAATAAGTAGATAAATATTCAGTAAGGATACAGAAGATTTGAACAAAACAAACCCAATCAATCCAATTGACATATACAACATGCTATAGATAACTAATGGAAAAAGTCACATTCTCTTCAAGTTAACTTGGAACATGTATAAGAAACAGACTTTATCCTAAAGTGAGTCTCCGAACATTGAAAAGAATAAAAATCATAGCATAGCCCAAA